CCCGCCCGACCCGTCCCGCCCGTTAGGGTACTCGCGTGCCAACTCGATGGCGCATCATACTTTAATGTCCTGCCCGCCCGACCCGACCCGTCCCGCCCGTTAGGGTCCGCCCGCCCGACCCGACCCGTCCCGCCCGTCAGGGTCCGCCCGCCCGACCCGTCCCGCCCGTTAGGGTACTCGCGTGCAACTCGATGGCGCATCATAGTTAATGTCCGCCCGACCCGACCCGACCCGCCCGTTAGGGTCCGCCCGCCGGGCCCGTCCCGCCCGTCAGGGTACTCGCGTGCCAACTCGATGATGCACCATTATTTTATGTCCCGCCCCCCGACCCGACCCGTCCCGCCCGTGAGGGTCCGCCCGCCCGACCCGACCCGTCCGCCCGCCCGCCGGACCCGTCCCGCCCGTTAGGGTACTCGCGTGCCAACTCGATGGTGCATCATACTTTAATGTCCCGCCCGCCCGACCCGACCCGACCCGCCCGTTAGGGTCCGCCCGCCCGACCCGACCCGTCCCGCCCGTTAGGGTCCGCCCGCCCGACCCGTCCCGCCCGTCAGGGTCCGCCCGCCCGCCGGACCCGTCCCGCCCGTTAGGGTATTCGCGTGCCAACTTGATGGCGCACCATACTTTAATATCCGCCCGACCCGACCCGACCCGCCCGTTAGTGTCCGCCCGCCGGACCCGTCCCGCCCGTTAGGGTACTCGCGTGCCAACTCGATGATGCACCATTATTGAATCGCTTCGCTCATTCCGCCGGCCCGTGATATGGCATCGCTGGTTTTTGTCTGTGTGTTCGTTGCCCATGTTGCGCTCTTGGGGGCGGGTGTCGTTCGGACGCGTTGCGTGGGGAGTTTTGATGGTGAAGCAGTTCCCTGGGGGTCGTCTCTCGATGGGGCGAAATAGAGTCGTCGTCAAGATGCTTCTTTGGGGGGCCTCTTGGGGTCTGTTGAGAGGCCGTTCGGGGGCGCCTGGGAGACATGTTTGAAGCCTTCTGGGGCTTCTTTTGGGCCTCCTGGGAGTCTCCTGGGGCCTCTTGGCGACATCTTGGGGCCTCTTGGAGGCCTCTTGGGGCCTCTTTGGGACCTCCTGGGCGCCTTCTGGGACGGAGGGCTCCATTTTTGAGTTCTCGGTATCCCTCCTGAGTCCCTCTTGGGCCCGTCTTGGGGCCTCTTGGTCCGTCTTGGGCGGCACTTGGGCCGTCTTGAGGGCTCTCTTGGGTCGTTTCGGCGCCGTCTTGGGAGCTTCGTGGGCCGTCTTGGAGCGGTCTTGGGGGCCTCTTGGGCCGTCTTGGAGCGTCCGGAAGCCGAAAAAGCCAGAACACAAAAAACATAGAAAAAAACCAATGAAAATCAACGATTTTGGCCTCTTGGGGCTCTCTTCGGAGGCCTCTTGGAAGGCTCTTGGGGCGTCTTGGAGGCCTCTTGGGCTGTCTTGGGGGCCTTTTGGGCCGTCTTGGGGTCATCTTCGGCGTCTTCGAGCGCTCTTTGGGCGTCTCGGGGGCCTCTTGGGCAGTCTTGGGGGCCTCTTGGGGCACTCTGAGCGCGCTCTGGGGAGCCTGAGAGGCCGCACCCAGAAGGAAAACCATCTCTGAGTAGACTTGGTCGGGCGGCGGTCGGGCGGCGACCGGGCGTTGGTCGGGGTACTTTTCGCCGGGGGACCCCCAGGGGCCGCCCCGCGCGCGCGAACTAGAAATACTGTTAATACTGTTAACCAGTTACCGGAGATCTTAGCACGCCCTGGCCCGTTGGGCCGGCGAATTTTATGTCCCGCCCGCTCGACCCGACCCGTCCCGCCTGTGAGGGTCCGCCCGCCCGACCCGACCCGTCCCGCCCGCCCGCCGGACCCGTCCCGCCTTTAGGGTACTCGCGTGCCAACTCGATGATGCATCATACTTTCATGTCCGCTCGCCCGACCCGACCCGTCCCGCCCGTTAGGGTCCGCCCGCCCGACCCGTCCCGCCCGTTAGGGTACTCGCGTGCCAACTTGATGGCGCACCATACTGTAATGTCCGCCCGACCCGACCCGACCCGCCCGTGAGGGTCCGCCCGCCGGACCCGTCCCGCCCGTTAGGGCACTCGCGTGCCAACTCGATGATGCACCTTATGTCCCGCCCGCTCGACCCGACCCGCCCGCTCGACCCGACCCGTCCCGCCCGTGAGGGTCCGCCCGCCCGACCCGACCCGTCCGCCCGCCCGCTGGACCCGTCCCGCTCGTTGAGGTCCGCCGGGCCGCCGGACCCGTCCCGCCCGTGAGGGTACTCTCCTGCCAACTCGATGGTGCATCATACTTCAATGTCCTGCCCGCCCGACCCGACCTGACCCGCCCGTTGGGGTCCGCCCGCCCGACCCGACCGTCCCGCCCGTTAGGGTCCGACGGCCCGCCGGACCCGACCCGCCCGTTAGGGTACTCGCGTGCCAACTGGTACATCATACTTTAATGTCCCGCCCGCCCGACCCGACCCGACCCCGTTAGGGTCCGCCCGACCCGACCCGTCCCGCCCGTTAGGGTCCGCCCGCCCGCCGCCGTCTCGCCCGTTAAGGTATTCGCGTGCCAACTCGATGGTGCATCATTCTTTAATGTCCCGCCCGACCCGACCCGTCCCGCCCGTTAGGGTCCGCCCGACCCGACCCGTCCCGCCCGTTAGGGTCCGCCCGCCCGCCGGACCCGTCCCGCCCGTTAGGGTACTCGCGTGCCAACTCGATGATGCATTCCACTTGAATATCCCGCCCCCCCCCGACCCGACCCGTCCCGCCCGTTTGGGTCCGCCCGTTCGGGTCCGCTGGCCCGCCGGACCCGTCCCGGGTACTCGCGTGCCAACTCGATGATACATTCTGTTTGAATGTCCCGCCCGCCCGACCCGACCCGACCCGGTTCCGGGGAAGCGGTTCCGGGGAAACAGTGCACCGGGGAAACGGTTCAGGGGAACCGGCTGCGGGGAAACGGTTCTGGGGAACCGGTTCCAGGGAAACGGATCGGGGGAAACGGTTCCGGGCAAGCGTTCCCGGGGAAACGGAACCGGGGAAACGGTCCCGGGGAAACGCTCCTCCGGGGAAGCGGTCCCTGGGGAAGAGGTCTCCGGGGAAACGGTCCTCCAAGGAAACGGTCCCGGGGAAGCGGTTCCGGGGAAACGGTTCCCGGGGAAACGGTTTCGTATCCCACAGGGAGCTCCGCCGAAGGCCCCAGTGGCTGCGTCCACATGCGTTTCCCCCAACCAGTACAGCGCTTCGTGGCCCCATAGAGAGCCCCACCGGAGGCCCCAGTGGCGGTGTTCGCATGCTTTCCCCCCCACAGTGCAGCGTTTCGTGGCCCCAAAGGAAGCCCCACCGAAGGCCCCAGTGGCGGTGTTCGTACGCGTTTCCACCACCCAGTACAGCAACTGTGGCCCCATAGGGAGATAGGGACTTCCACCGAAGGCCCCAGTGGCGGTGCTCGCATGCGTTCCCCACCCACTACAGCGTTTCGTGGCCCAATAAGGAGCTTCCCCGAACGCCCTAGTGGAGGCCCCGCCCCGTTGCGGCGCACCCCTCACACGTTTCGCAGCCTCATTCTGGATTCCGCCTAAAGCTCCAGTGGCAACGCCCTCATGGCGACCCCGCCCCATATCGGCACAGCCTTCGAATGCTGCATGGCCCCTATGAGTAGATCCCCCGAAGGCGATCCCCGCAACGACGGTACACACAACTGCGTATGGTTTGGTCCTTCGCCAGGATATGTTTTTTGGGGTGGGGGCGGGGCGACCACATATCTGTACATATATATAAATATATATAGATATACATATATACACATATATATATATATATATATAGATGCATGCATGTATATGTACATATATCCATATGCATATATGTACATGTATTCTATTCTGAAGGCCTTGCGGCTGGTGCCGCCGACCCTGAAGACGACACCGAGGAGGTGGAGGAGGAGGAAGAGGAGGAGGATGATGACGAGGATGAGGAGGAGCAGGAGCAGCAGAAGCAGGAAGAGGAGGAGGAGGAGGAGGAGAAGGAGGAGGAGGAGGAGGAGGAGGAGGAGAAGGAGCAGGAGGAGGAGGAGGAGGGAGAGGAGGAGCAGGAGGAGGCGGAGGCGGAGGACGCGGTGGATCAGCAGGAGGGGGAGGAGGAGGATGCGGATGCGGATGCGGATGCGGATGCGGAGGAGGAGGATGAGGAGGAGGAGGAGGAGAAAGATGATGATGATGATGATGATGATGATGATGATGATGATGATGATGATGATGATGATGATGATGATGATGATGATGATGATGATGATGATGATGATGATGAGGAGGAGGAGGAGGAGGAGGAGGAGGAGGAGGAGGAGGAGGAGGAGGAGGAGGAGGAGGAGGAGGAGGAGGAGGAGGAGGAGGAGGAGGAGAGGAGGAGGAGGGAGGAGGAGGAGGAGGAGGAGGAGGAGGAGGAGGAGGAGGAGGAGGAGGAGGAGGAGGAGGAGGAGGAGGAGGAGGAGGAGGAGGAGGAGGAGGAGGAGGAGGAGGAGGAGGAGGAGGGAGGAGGAGGAGGAGGAGGAGGAGGAGAGGAGGAGGAGGAGGAGGAGGAGGAGGAGGAGGAGAGAGGAGGAGGAGGAGGAGGAGGGAGGAGGAAGAGGAGGAGGAGGAGGAGGAGGAGGAGGAGGAGGAGGAGGAGGAAGAGGAGGAGGAGGAGGAGGAGAAGGAGCAAGAGGAGGAGGAGGACGACTCGAACGGACAAGCCCCTCAGACACGCCGACAGGCTCGGCGGACGTAGACACATATCACGAATTATGTTTCACATGTGTACACACAGCAGCCCCCGAAGACTCAACACGGTAGCCTACTGCATCGTACATGTGCAATCCATGTGTTGCAAGCTATGCGGCGCGTGGTTCAGATGGTGCAGTGAACGTGCCGCCGGCTGTGCGGTGAAGAATGCCACGCGGCGCAGCGCAAAGCCGCCCGAAGTGTAGTCCCGCTGCCTCGCCTCCGAACTTCGCCCTCGTGGCCTCTGTCCGCTCCGCCCGCCGAGGCCACGCTGTCGCGGCTGCGCGAGCGCGGCCTGCGCGTGGACGTGCTCTCCACGTGGTGGGACGTGGACGAGCCCGAGGACCTCGCGCGCCTGGCGGCGCTGCTGCGGGGCTCCGCCGGCCGGGAGCGGGCCCCAGCCACCGCCGCGGCGCTGGAGGGGCTGGGCCGCCCCGCGCCCGCGGAGGGGCCGGAAACGGTCGCCGCGCCGCCCGAGGGGGCGGCTTCGCCGCAGGCCGAGCGGTGAGGCCGGGCGAGCACAGACAGCATCAGCCCGGCGAGAGTCGCCACCCCCTATGTAGTTGCGCGCAGCGCAGGGCGCGCTGCCCTCTCCTCGAAAGGCTGCTCGCGCGACGGCGAGGGGCGGTGCCGTCATGCGGACCCTGGCAGGAGGGCCTTCGGCAGAGCTCCCCACATGGGGCCAGGAAGCGTGCGAGGGTTTTTTTTCGAAATGAGGCGAGCACAAGAAATTAGCTTCCTGGCTCACGCAACGGGGATCCGCGCCAGCGGCTGTCAGCCACTCCCCTCGGGCTGGCCCGGGTCTGGGAGCCACGTGGGGCCGATTTCTCCTGTCCGCCCTCAGCTGGCCCGGGTTTTGGAGCCACTGAGCGGCCCGCCGACCTTCGCGACAGGGCCCTGGCCGACCCGGCGGGTTGGTGCGTCTCCGATGGCTTGGCGAAAGACTCGCCCCGATGCAGTTGCGAGCAGCGCAGGGCGCCGCCCTCTCCGCGGAGGCTGCTCGCCATGACGAGGGGTGGCTCGGGGCAGCGAGATGGGGGGGCGGCGCCTCCATGCGGCCCCTGGCACCAGGGCCCTCGGTGGACCCCCCCCCTATGGGGTGTGCCGCGATAAGGCGGCGCCACCATGCGGACCCCGGAACTTGGGCATCAGTTGGAGCTCCCTAAGGGGCCACGAAGCGTGCGAGGAGTGCCCCTAATTGAGGCGACGTGCCACGGAGCGTGCGAGGGGGTTTACCCTGGTATTTGGGGCCTTCCTTGGAGCACCCTATGGGGCCACGAAGCGTGTGAGTCAGTCAGTCAGTCAGTCAAGCCGTGCGCTCATACGGCGCATTGGCAGATAAGACGTTGATGGAATCACTCTGCGGAGGGAGAGGGAAGCAGGAGGACGAAGGAGGAGGAGGAGGAGGAACACAGGGAGGGGAACGACAAACACTTGGAGCTAATGCGTTGGCAGAAGATCATAATCGCAAGGGGCCCACTGCTGTTTTGGCCTTCCCCTGCCTCGCCGGTGCGCCCACTTTCTGGGCAGGGCAGTGCCAGGCTGGCAAGTTAAAAGTCTGAGAGGCCTGTCCCTGGGCAGTGCTGCGATTTTCTTGTACAACGCTATCTGGCGCCAGCGAAGCGTGGAGCTCAATGGATGCTCCCCTGCTTGCTCCAGAACCTCTTTAGTAGACACTCGTGAAACATATGTCCTAGGAATTCTTAGAACTCGTCTCAAACATTGCGCGTGGAAGCTGTCCACGCGGTCTTTGTCAGCCTGCATATGCCAGACCGTGTCTAAATTATACAACAAGTTTTGTAAACCTATAGCGTTGTAGAATTTTATGTTTCTGGCGCGGCAGATGTTGGCGTGCGACCAACACTTAAACACATTCTGAAAGCAGCCTTTACCTTCACCGATTCTCCTGGTCACTTCTGGTATTGTTATACATTTAACGTTCAGCAGGCCCGCAAGAAACACTGCTTGTTCCACCGCTGTGAGTGGGTTCCTGTGGGTGAGAAAATCACACCATCATTACACACGTTCCATGCACGCAGTCTTGCCCTAATTCAGATCCAGACCGTCCCTCTTGCCTTCGTCGATTACAATGTCGAGAAGAGTCTTCAACGTCCCGGAGTCGCTGCAGAGGAGCCGCGACGACGACGACGAGGGCGACGACGACGACGACAACGACGACGACGACGACGTGGGCGACGACAACGACGACGACAACGCGGATGACGAACGACGACGACGACGACGACGAGGGCGACAACGACGACGGCGACGACGAGGTCGACGACGGCGACGACGACGACGACGACGACGACGACAACGCGGGCCACGACGACGCGGGCGATGACAACGACGAGGGCGACGACGACGACGACGACGACGAGGGCGACGACGACGACGACGAGGGCGACGAGAACGAGGGCGAAGACGACAAGGGCGACGACGACGACGACGACGACGAGGGCGACGTGGGCGACGACGACAACGCGAGTGACAAAGACGACGGCGACGACGACCACGACAACGAGGGCAACGACGACAAGGGCGACAAGGGCAACGACGCCGACGACGGCGACGACGGCGACGACGACGAGGGCGACGACGACGACGACGAGGACGAGGGCGATGACGACGAGGGCGACGACGATGACGACGACAACGACGTGGGCGACGACGACGACGACGACGAGGGCGACGACGAGGGCGACGACAACGAGGGCGACGACGACGATGACGACGACGAGGGAGACGACGACGACGACCAGGGCGACGATGACGGCGACGACGACGCTAACTTGGGCGACGTCGACGACGAGGGTGACGACGAGTGCGACGACGAGGGCGAAGACGACCTCGACGACGAGGGCGACGACGACGTGGGCGACGACGATGACGACGTGGGCGACGACTGCGACGACCACGAGGGTGACGACGATGGCGACGGCGTCGACGACGACGACGACGTGGGCGACGACGACGACGCCGACGACGAGTGCGACGACGACAGCGACGACGACGACGAGGGCGACGACGGCGAGGGCAACGACGACGACGAGGGCGACGACCATGACGACGATGAGGGGTGACGACGACGACGACGAAGGCGACGACAACGACGACGACGAGGGCGACGACGTCGAGGGCGATGAAGACGACGACGACGAGGGCAACGACGACGAGGGCGACGACGACGACGACGACGACGACGTGGGCGACGACGACGACGACGAGTCACGACGACGAGGGCGACGACGACGAGGGCGATGACGACGACGACGACGGCGACGACGACGGCGACGACGACGACGACGACGTGGGCGACGACGACGACGACGAGGGCGACGACAACGACGACGACGACGACGAGTGTGGTCACGACGACGACGACGACGACGAGGGCGACGACGACGTGGGCGACGATCACGACGACGTGGGCGACGACGACGACGACGTGAGCGACGACGACAACGATGGGGGCGACGACAGCGAGGGTGACGACGACGGCGACGACGACGTCGAGGATGACGACCACGACGACTACGACGACGTGGGCGACGACGACGACGACAACGACGACGACGAGGGTGACGATGAGTGCGACGACGACGTGGGCGACGACGACGACGAGGGTGACGACGACGACGACGACGAGGTCGACGCCGACGACGACGACGAGGGCGACGACGAGGGCGACGACAACGACGACGACGAGTGCGACGGCGAGTGCGACGACGACGACTGCAACGACGAGGGCGACGACGACGACGACGATCACGACGATTTTGACGACGACGGCGACGACGACGACGAGTGCGACGACGAGTGCGACGACGAGTTCGACGACGACGACAAGGGCGACGACGATGACAGCGACGACGACGACGACGTGGGCGACGACGACGACGACGAGGGTGACGACGACGACGACGACGACGACGACGACGACGACGACGACGACGACGACGAGGGCGACGACCACGGCGACGACGACGACGATCACGAGGGTGACGACGACGACCACGACGACGACGACGACGACGACGACGACGACGACGACGACGACTGCGACGACGACGATGACGACGACGACGACGACGACGACGTGGGCGACGACGACGACGACGACGACGACGACGACGACGACGACGACCCCGTTGCCCTGGTGCGGGCCGTGTGGTGCTGCACCGCGGGGATCCCCGCAAGGCCGCCGGGGCACCCGTGACCCCCGCCTGCCCGGCGGACGCGGCTGGCAGCGGCGGCGCAGGTCGGCGCCCCGCGCGCGTGCGCCGCCACCGCGCAGCGCTCCGCTGCAGTTTCGTCGTCGTCGTCAGCGTCGTCGTCGTCGGCGGCGGCGTCGTCGTCGTTGACGTCCCCGCTACAGCTCTGCTGCGGGGTCGTCGGCGTCGTCGGCGTCGGCGTCGAGTTCCACGAAAATTGTTAGTATCTTGCCTTCGTCTTAGGCCTTAGGCTGCTGAAGCTGCACTGCGTCGTGATCGTCAGCGCCGTTGTCATCGTCGTTGGCGTCATTCCTCGTCCTCCTCCTCCTCCGTCTCCTTCTCCTCCTCCTCTCGCTCTCTCTCCTCCTCCTCCTCCTCCTCCTCCTCCTTCTCTTTTTCTTCTCTCCTCCTTGGTCCTCCCCCTCTCCCCTCGGTGTCCCCTTACGTTTCCCCTCTCCATATCCTGTCGACGAGATGGCGGAGGTGGCGCAGGTGGAGCGGGGGGGGGGAGGAGGAGGTGGAGGAGGAGGAGGAGGAGAAGGGGTGCTGCCCATGTTGTCGGGTTCTCATTGGGACACACTCACAATCCTTGTCGGGTTGGGGGTTGGACAGGGAGAGGGAACGAGGAGGAGGATGAGGAACTCGGAACTCGGAACTCGGGAGTCTTCGAAGAACCGTCACTCAGGACGGCACTGCCGGGGGTGTGTAGGACACAGGTAATCAGGAGGATGAGGAGTAGAAGGAGGATGGATGGAGGACAAGGAGGAGGGATTAATACTGAATGGGGGGAAGGATGGAGAGGAGGGAGGAGAGTCGGGGATATGGGGGTTACGGCAGTAGAGGGTCAGGAGGAGAGGGTATCGGCGAGCGGTCGCCACAATGGATGCAGTTCGAGGGGGGACCCTCAGGTCCGGGAGTCGAAGCAAACATCGTGACGGACGGTCTCTCAACGTTTTCGGTGAGGAGAGAGTAGGAGGTATGAAGGAGGGAGGAAGAGAGGCAGGGGGTGGGAGGGAGAGGGAGGGATGATGATAACGGCATTGGCCATGAGGGTTGGATTGGATTGGGCTTCGCCTAGAAGCAAGTCCAACTGTCCGCTGTCTGACAGGATGGCTCCATGCAGCCCCGAACTTGCAGCCGCGTGTTGCACAGGAGGCTGCTAGCTCCCTTCTGGGAGGGGGGTGGGCGCTTTGATGGCAGGGAAGCGCTTAGGAAGAGAAGGATGGCCAAGAGGAGGCCGAGAAGAGGGGTAGAGGGAGATATGCCCTCCCGAAGTCCCACCCTGGCCCCGAGGACCTGCCGCACGAGGAGGACGAGGCGGATGAGGAGAGGAGGGATGAGGGCCACCGAGAGCGCGTCCGAGTCGAATACGCCTCAGGATGCGTAGGAAAACACTGAGGGGGGCCGCGGAGCGGCAGAACGTTATGAAACCTGGGAGCGCGGCGGGGGCCAGGGAAAGCTCGCGCCCGCGAGCACTACCAGGGAAGAGCACGACGCGTTACGCTTCCG